GCAAGGGCACTTTGTTCGACAGCAGGCAGGGAAACAAGGACGGTCAATACTACGCATTTTGTTGTCGGGACGAGGGTTTAGCGTAGTGTGTCGTTTTAGTACATTTCCAATTGTCGCTTTTGTTGGGATTGATGCGAGGGTGAACTTTTCAGCAGCCCATATAGCCAACTGGGAGTACGTAGAGGTTGGATGTTCCTTGTGTTGAGCATACAGCTCGTGCTTATCGAACAAGGTCATGCGTAGCTTCATGATTTCAATGTGGCATCATGCAAACATCATTGAGCCTTTTGAAATTTCAGTTTCACCTCGACATTCGATATTATAAATTCATAAAAATTATCGACTTTGGCCCGTTTAAAAGTCGGGTGGAAATCAGTATTGGAGAAGGATATCCGGATATCGCCGCCGACAACCTTTCGAGAAAGATATCTTTTGCCTTGGCGCCGTTGCAACCATGGGCAACGTGACCGGCCACGTCCAGCGCGAGCGCGAGTATGTTAAGACAGTCATTGGTTTCATGAAGGACCCGCGCACGTTCATGTCGGCCAGCCGCAACACGTACGGCGACGTGTTTCTGTTTCAGAGCTCGCTTGTCAACCAGAAGATCGCGGGGTTGAGTGGCCCAGAAGCGTTGCAAGCGTTCGAGGCACGGTTGGCCGATGGATCGCTCGTGAAGACGGGCGCGTTGCCAAGTGGAGTGTCGGACCTGCTCGGGCCAATTATGTCGGTGTTGGACGGAGAAGACCATCATCGGAAGAAGGCAGGGATCATGACTGCGTTTACGCCGCAGCAACTCGCCAAGTATTTGCTAGTCGTTCGCCGGATCATTCAAACTGAACACGCACGGTGGGCCGCTCGAGGCGGCGTCATTTCTATCACGGCGTCGTCTAAGGAGCTCGTCTTTAAACTCCTCTTGGCCGTGCTTTACGGCATCGAAGGCGATTTCGACGAGTACCGGCCACTAGTTGACGAGTTTGTGGCGTCAATTCGCAAATCCGCCGTCAAAGCCAGCCCAGAAGGCAAGGCAGCCCGCGACACGATCATGAACGACTTGGTCATCCCAGCCATTGAAGCCGCCAAAGTTCGAGTCGCTGGTGGTACTCCTTCACCGAGTGCATTAGACCATTTAGTCGGCCTCAACCAACTGGCTGACGACGATCTCGGTGTCGAGATGTTTCACGTCCTCTTCGCTGGCTTTGGTGGCCTATCTTGTCTTGCCACCAACCTCGTGACGCCGCTGGTAACCATGCCCGACGTTCGAGAAAAAATCTTGGACGCGCGCGACCAGTTTCTCTCTAAATACACGGGCGATACCAAGTGGGACCACCTCGAAGACTTGGGTTACATCAACCAGTACATCTTGGAAGTAAAGCGATTCTTTGTGGCAGGGCCGACCCAGAGCTTCGCCAAGGCGGCAGTCGCTTTTGACGTTGTCACGAGCAAGGGCACGTTCCACATCCCCAAGGGCTGCTTGGTCGCGGCGGGGCTCGAGACTACGGCATTTGACGCAGAAGTGTGGCCAAATCCAGATAACTTTGACCCCTCTCGTTTCGACAACAACGACGACTTGTCCGCGCTGCAATTCAAGTTGTGTCCCCATGGCATCGGGAGCACGTCGAACCGTCGATGCGCAGGGGAGACTCTCACAACGTTGGTGTGCCAGGCTCTAGTCGTGTCTTTGTTTGACTTTACGTGGAACATGGTGCCTGGCCAAGACTACGAGCTCGACGAAAACACGTCAATACCAACGCCTCGAGGCGGGCTGAAAGCAGTGGGGTTTCGCCGGCGTGACGCCGTGACCTCGTATGGCGTGGCTGGTACGGACGACGACTGGACGTTCCTCAAGCTGCCGGAGGCCAAAGCCATCGTGTCCGTCCATGGCGGCTGGGGCGATTCGGACGGGTTGTTTGCCGATCCGCGGCTTGACTTGTGGACCGAGCTCATGATCAAACTGATCGGAAAGAAGCAAGCCAAGTGGAATCGACCGTACGCCGACACAGCGCTCATGCTGCCCAAGAACAAACAGCCGCTGGTCAAACTTACGCTGGCCCAAACGTCGATTCAAGTCCCAACCGAAGACGAAGACTGGCCGACTCAATCGTGGGTCGAAGTCAAACAGGCCAACTTTCTTCGGGACCACGCTCCGTTTAAAGACGACTTTGTCCACAAATTTTTGCCGGGCGAAGACGGCGAGCGCTACGTGATGAGCAAGGTACGTGTGTCGCCCTAGAAGCTTGCACGTTGATGGATCTGGTAGGTTGGCCACATGTGGCCACGAGTCAACGTGCACTGGAACGATCGGTACTCGGACCGCGCGCTCGAATTGCTCGTGTTCAACGGGCTGGGATCCCACCTTGTCCAGAAACTCCCGACGGAAGACCCAACCGATGGATCGTACTATGGTGCGTGCATCATGGCTCGAAGTAAGGTTGCACTCATCGATGGGTGGCAGGGGTGCTGCTCAACTTTATGCAAGTGCTGGATGTCCGGCCCGGGTTCGCCAAGTATGGCGCCGACGCGTTCTTCGACAAGCAAGGCAAGCTGATCAAGATTATACGTGGCGACAAAACGGTAAAGGGTTGCGCATGGCGACGAGGTGAAGCTGAACATGTGGTCCATGGACAGTACACCAAGACGGACGTCGAGTGGGAATACGTGAAGATGTGTTTTCGAGGAAGTTTGCAAACCAAAGTGACAGCGGTCGACCACTTGCTCGGGATCCACGTGACGGTGGCCAACTACCTGGTCACGGCGTCGCGGGAACAGCTTGCTGTCAACCATCCGTTGCGGCGTTTATTCAAGCCATTCACGTTTCGTACAGTCTCGATCAACTTTAGCGCAGGTCGCGCACTCTTTTGGCCCAATGGGATGCTCCAGCGCGCATACGCCCTGACGAACTCCGGCATGAAACAGACCTGGGAATACGGCCTCAGCCACTTTGTGTACGCGCCGTTCCCTGACCGCGTCAAGGCCCAGCAAATCGACACGTTCACGCTGCCGTTCCACCAGGACGGACTCGACTACTGGGCGATCGTGTTTTCGTTTGTTAGCAAGTACATCGACTTGTACTTTGCCGACGACGCCGCGATCGCGGGCGACACGGACGTGGTCAACTTTTGGACGTACGTGACGTCCGTCTCGCCCGTGCCGCTTCCACCCGTATCCAAGGCCAGCCTCAAAGATTTTATCGCACAGGGCATCTTCCTCGTGTCGAGTATGCACAACCATCTTGGCACGATCGCAGAGTACGTGAGCGACCCGGCTTTCTGTCCGTCAGCGTGGGTCGAAGGCGACCACGCCGCACCCCCAGGCAACGCGGTTCGCCTCGCGCTCATCATGACAGCAACGGGGTTTACCCAGCCTGCCATAACGGAGGACTTTTCCCACGTCATGCTCGACAACGCTGCGAAAGACCTCGTCCGTACGTTCACAGCGGATCTGTTCAAGCTCATCGATGTCATCGATGCGCGGAACACGACCCGCGTCCAGCCATTTCAGTCGTTCAACCCGAAAACTATGGAAATGGCCGTCAGCATTTAGGAAAGATAGAACTTTTAATGCATGTCAGTGCTTGATTAATGAGCGAGCTCAGCGACTCTACCAAGCGAAAGACCACCTATCGGTTCACAATTGCAGCCGCCGAAGATGACCTCCTTAAAGAAGTCGTTTCAGTGGTCCCATACGATGCGACCTACTGGTAAACAACTTCTACGTGGGATAAGATTGGTGTCAACATGAGGAGCAATCATGGTGACGCCATCACAGCTACGGGATGTGCTGGTTCGATTTTATAAAACTAACAGTAAATATCAATAATATTCAATAATTTTAGAAAAATATTCCATTTAAAGAACGATCTGCTGTCCACGCTCAAACAGGCCACACTAAAGGCGTCGGGGGCGGAGGTGATACAATACATTGACCTTTTTGTTGAAAATTGGACTTAGGGTGGAATCGTTACGAACAAAACCCTTCTTTTCGACAACTGACGCAACCAATCAAATAACTCGTAGCACACGTCCATTTTGCCATGCCATCCTTCACCGGCACTCAATCACTTCTCCAAGCTGTCGTGCGGGACCACGCCTCCGAGAACACGAAGTATCACTGCCTTTTCGGCTATTTCATGCTAAGACTTTCCAAATCGTATCTTGCCTTGCTTTACTCGAAACACCAAAGTACAATTGCTGCCTGGATAGCCAAGTGTGAGACTGATGGCACTGTTGTCCGCCAAGATGCTCAGCTCAATCTATACCGACGTTTCGACTCCTCCAAACGAGAATGGGTGTTGCAATTGTACGATGCGGAGCCATTATTATACCTGGACGAAGCAGCGACAAGGTTTTGCAAACAATTTGGCCAGACAATAAGCTGTTCAACGCTGTGGGGAATTCTAAACGGTGCTGGTTTGACCCGGAAGGTCCTCGAAAGGCGTGCAAGCGTCGTCTTGGGCACACCCGATTGCGCCGCCAGGGACCGCAAGGTCTGCCGTCCGTGCAGAGGGACAGCCTTCACGGCACGCTCGATGTCGGCGGGACGGTGGCGACGTTTCCCTCCCGAATTTCCTTAAAAAGTACAAATTGTTAAACTCGATAATTGTGAAAATCAATATTTGTATGTGTTTTGAGAGGAATACCTTTGAATTTCGAGTCAACGTCGGCAACAAGATCGCCATCGAGGACAGAGAGCATTCCACGCGTCCACACCCGCTCCACAGTGCGCCAGTAGCAATTAAACATCCGCGCGACATCAGTGTAGGAACCATGTGGCAGTATGAGGTCGCTGCTGCGCGACAACAGTTCCTCATAGATGGCGCGGCGCTCGTCGTTGGACAGCTTCCGCTTGTTGTAGTTGGGGATGGAGGCGCCGGGGGCAGCAGGCGTTGGCGTAGTCGACATAGTTGTTGTGTG